TCGCTTCGGCAGTGTTTAAAATATGGATCCCTGCTTCTAACACCGAGAAATATGTATCCGGTAAACGGAGGGGAGAGCGGTGTTGGGGCTGGATGGCGTGGGGCAGGCCCAGACGAAGTGCTCGCTGCGGGCCCAGCTGCAGTTGAGTCTTTCCCTCGATCTGCTCTTTTTTCCTGCCTGTGTCACTTCCTTCCCGTGGCTCGCACGCGCACCCGGAGCCGAGCTCGGAGCACCCGGCTTGAACGGCGGTGACACCCCCGGTGCGCTCTGGGGGAGCGGAACGGGGCTCAGCCTACAGGTTAGGATCAGCTAAAATCCCAACCTTTGGGGTTTTTAATTTGTGGGAGAGGAGAGGTACCCCAAATATACACCACATGGGTCAGGTTTGTAGAGAAGTTCTAGGTTTTCTTGTAAGTCCACGAACCAGGTCACTTGCAATTTCCTAAAAGTTGGGCAAAACGGCATTTTGTTACCACTAAGACTGTCCACAGTGAAGGACTCAAAATTGAGCTTTTTCAAAAACTTTCTTCAGAGCTTTAACATAGACTCAGTTTGTCTTCCTGACTTCTGAAATTTAGTCATTGCTCCTGGGTCTGCAGATGACTTGCAGAAGCGATAGACTTTGCTGTTGTGGTGGTAGATAACAAACACACGTTTATTTGTTCACTTTTTTTGTTTTTTAAACAAACGTGGCATCTTGTCTTCTCCTATCATGCTATATAAAATAGCATCCTGGTTTATAGGGGTTTACAGACTTCCTGTTTTTACCAACGTGCAGATGCTTTTACTCTGTTTGAACTTCATGATTTTTTTTCAAAACTGTTTCCATTTCTGCCACAGCAAATACCCTGACTTGCTCAGACCTGTGTAATAAACCACCTATTAGTTGAAATAAATGCTTTATGTAGAGGAATAGCTTTCTCTGTGAGTAGCAGTTCCCTTTTATCGATGTTATAAAAATCCTTGAGTGTAGTTTTTAAAACATGAAAAGCATTTCCTGGACAACATCTTTCCCGCACAAAGCAGAACTGTGTTTCCCAGACCTACTGGAGACCTAGCAAAACAGGGTCTCTCAGTGCCCTTCCAAAATTGCCTACTTTTCATTTGTAGTAACTTCTGCATTGTGTGATTGATGTGATGCTGCTGCTTGCGCTTCTTTAAAGTCAATCTATGGAAACCCTGTATTTTGATGGAAATAAAGAAGTATTCATACTTCTCAACATTAAATCCATCACAGTGCTGTCCTAAATGGGAACGTTTTCTCCATACATATGTTCAGATCAATATTTGGCATTCATTTTGTTTTAAAATGTTAAATACTCCTTCGTTTCTTATCTGACCAACATAGGGATGAATTACGGAATGTATGTTTTGGTGCGAGGAAGCTGGTAGCTTAGTGTAAGACTATTAAAAAAGGTATAATCACGTAAGACTCGAATTCACCTGAAGTTGTTCCGTCAGCCTTTGATGGTACATCAAGCGATCCTTTTTGCCTGGATGCAAGAAAGATTTTCAGCATTAGCGCTTGTCTGCAGAGGAAACCGAGTTTACAGTGAGTGTGATACAGACCTCGCAGTGCACTGACTGGGGTTTAGGTGCTTGCCCTTAAGAGTTTAATGTCTTAGCGTAGTGTAAATTCACAAGCCGCCTTAGCTAATAAATAAATTCACTATGTAAACGAGCTACAGTCTTTACTAAGAGATAGATAATTGGTTCGATGCGTGTCCTCTTTGTCCGGTTCCTCATAGGAATGAGACAGTACCAGCGGACTTTATACACAGCCTGGGCTTTGGGATCAAACACCTGTAGCCGACGATTGCATCGTAACCATTGATCCTTATTTTCAAGTGATGTGCCACACTGTTTAGATGCGAATTCTTTTTCACAGACGTATTCTTTGATTGACTCGCTTTCTTGTCATGGGTGCTTAGCTATAAACTGCTTTCCTAGCTGTTTTGCTTCTTGCCCGAAGGAACTCTGCCAAGACAAGCTCTTCTTCATCCTCCTGGTATCTGGCCAAACCCAAACTGCACTGTAGTGGAAAACTCGTATCCCAGCTCTTCACGGCATGTTTTGGGTGGTAGGCACTCCAGGGGTATGCCAGTCCATAACGTGTAATGTTTTGTTGTGCAAAGTTATAGTCTTTGTCTGCCAGGTAATTCAGACGCTTTGCTTAGTATCAGGCAAGATTAAAGCATAAGAGTAAATTGGAGACACTCCAGTAAGGTAAAAGGTTAAACATTCAAATGTAAAGTTGGAAACAGTTTTTTTATAAAAAAAAAAAAAAAAAAAAGAAGTTGTGTTCATAGCTACCTGGAACTTTAACTTCATTCACAACTGGTTTTTCACATTTTCCTCCCACAAGGGGTTACTTAGTGCTGAGATAGATCCTAGCATTATTTCCTTTGGCTGATGTGCTTTTCGAAAAGCAACCTCTTGCTTTGGTTGTGTTACTTATACCCCTCGCTTCTTTTGCATGCAGTTGGAATTTCAAGGAGCGCTCTCCCTTCTCCACTGCCACAATGTAGTTATTGTCTCATTTGGCTTGTCTTGGACAGCCGAGATTTGGTGGGTTTTGATTTTCACTTTCTTCATGTAACTTTATTTTCACTGCTCTGCTCGCCTTTTTTTTTTTCTTTCTTTTTTTTTTTTTTGAAAGAGTTTTAATCTAATTAACACCTTCTGCAAATGCATCAGGAGATTTCTTTCCAACCCCTCTATAGTCTGGCCTGGGTTTGATGTGTCTGTTTTTCTGGTAGTCCGTCCTGCAGTCCGTAGTGGAAGCACCTCTGCTCTAGTGCTTAGTGCTCAGAAAGCTATAGCAAACCTTCTGGGTATAAACTATTGGTTGTACCAACTGTAACGTTAATGTGACTTTTGTCCTGACTGGGACTTTTTTTAGATGTTACCTCCTTACAAATGTTGCCCCTTTACAAATAGGTATATTTTTCCCCCCTCTTTTTGCTTCTAAACTTTGGTAGCGTTCGCTCCCTGCATGCCATAAAAGCTGTGTGTGTCCCACATCTGTCATCTTTAAGCATTGCGAAAATCTAGTTTGTTATTCAGACATTGATTAATTATGAACCCAGTCTTCTGCATAAAACATAAGCTTTATTGAGAAGCAGTCATGAACAAATGCATAACATGACATTGAAGAAACAAATAGTCCCGATGAGTCCCCTTTGCAGGGAAATACAGATGTGAGACAGTCCGTCATTTAATGTACAGCAGCTGTTCCCAGGACAACACTTCCAAATGTAAGCCATTACCCGTCCACACCAGTGCCATGAATCGAGAATGAGCGTGTAGTCATGCTGGATTTTTAAAACCAAGTTTCAGTTATTTGCAGATCAGCTTCAGAAAACTTCATTTCTCTTCAAGTACATCGAAGTGACGTGTTTAAGGACTTTGGGAAGACAGAAGGACTCTAGCATATGACGCACGGCGCTCCTGATACACTGTCATACGAGTAGGGGTGTGATAACATCATCTATGTGTTTACTGGATTGCATCGCTTTCAAAAGTTCCAGTTGTCAAAAAAAAAAAAAAAAAAAAAAGCTTTCCACCCAAAACTTGTGGTCAAGTCCAACCAGAGTCTTCAGAAAGGGCATATTCTTCTTCTGGGCATGTTCAGAGCTGATCTAATCACTGCTTCAAATGTCATGCCTAAATGGTGCCTCAATATCAGGAAAGATTTAACTGGACATACTATTTGCCAAGGAAACAACACTTTGTCCCTAAAAACTGGAATGAATCTTGATGTGTGAAGCAGCAGCCCAGCAATCCAGGTGGCACTGGTGTGCCAATCGCTGGTTGTCTGCGGGGCCGCATCTGATGCTGCTTTGTTGCTTTGATGGCAGCTGAGGGCACAGCACCCAGGAGCCAAGCAGCTAGTGCGGTCCCCTCTTGAACCAAGCTGCACGTGTCAGCTTTTTTCCCTTCTGCAGTATCGAGTAATTTAGGATTGTTAGCTTGCAAAAGCAGAGGATTATTTTTCAGTAGCTCTTGGACACCTTACTTCACGCTAGCATCCATCACAGCCCAGCTCCCAGGCATTTCTCTCCTTTTGTGTCTTTTTTTTTTTCTCCAGACTTCATGCAAAGTTCTGCTGAATACCACTTATCTCCTCAAAACTAACAAGCGATGGAAGAACATTTTAAATTTGTTACATCAGGAATCTTAGCTTCAGAAAGCAATTTTCAGTCAGTAGTGTGTATAAGAAATATTTCATTGTGTGTTTTTTATATTCCTGCATTTGCAAGAAGCCTTGAATTGAACCTGCTCCATTATATTCTGCCCGGAGACAGTTCTTAATGCTGTGCAATTTGAAGCTGTTCGGTAGATCTTGAAGTCTCATCAAATGGTTTAAACTTCGGTCCATCAGCTTGTTTGGGGGGAAGAGAGGAATGCGTTGGGGAAATCAGTGCAAGTGGATTTGAATTTAGAGATATTCTAAGATGGCTCTTTGTCCAGTTTTTCATTTTGTTTTTTGTTGGCTGTGGTTTGTTCCACTAGCAAGCAAGAATTCTAAGTTAACAGGATATAAAATTGGAAAGAACAGGTTCTTACCGGGTTTTCCTTGGCAGGAGCACATCAGTTTGCCCTTCCTAACTGACCTATGATGATCTGGCAAATCTGTCCAAGTGTATTGTTTGTTGCAAAGCGATTTGCACAGAACCAGGGGCCGGGGATAGTTATTCTGAACTTTACTGTGGCCAGATCCTTTTGTAATATCGGACAAGTGACTTAAAATTTACCTGTCTGTTTACTGCTTCGGGATACAAGGTTGGCTCTGGGCTTTTTGTGACTAAATGAAATTATAGTGTATTTGCAAAGATCCTAAAAAGGATTGTCTTTCTGTAAGCCAGTAGAAAACAAGGTCAGAAGCATTATGGTTGGTACTCAACCAGGCAACTTACTACTAAAATTCTTGTGCATCACAGATGAACAAGAGGCCTTGAAATCCATCATGAAGGACCTGGTAGCACTCCAGATGAGCCGACGTCACAGACTGACTGGATATGATACCATGAAGAACAAAGACACTGCTCACTCCAACAAACAGGTAATAGGCTATTCAGTGAGTACTTGAAATCGTTACCCGGGGGCGGAAGGGCCAGAGGAGGTGGACAGTGGGTCTGCTGCCCGTGTTCAGCCTCGTGCTTCTGACTGCTGAAGCATCCCAAGTGGATGAGCTCCCTATTCTTGCCCAGGCTGTGTTGCCAACCCAGTAGCTATTTACTTAACCTTTATCGACTATGGAAGGCACGGTTTTGATAATTTGCAACATCGTAGTATTCTGCCTTCCTCCCACACGGGTGTTTTTGATGGGGTTTGGTTTGTGTAGGTTAGCTAAAAAGTTTACCAAGTAGTTTTCTGTTTTCACAGTCATATTGCCGTTTTTGTAAATGACTTTATTATTTTTAAAGAAAAAACACAATGCCAGCAGTCCACCCCTCTTGGGCAGCCCTGCAATAACAAACCAGTGTGCCTCTGCAGTGGAGGAAAAAAAAGTTCCGGTAAGAAAACTGCTTTCCTATTCAATATTAGCAATTATAAATTAGGAGCATGTTTTAAAGTTGTGTGCAGCGACCTTTATAGAATTCATTTAAGCAGGTGTGGGAGGCCAGGAAAGCTTGTCTTTACTGACTCTGTCGTGATGTAGCAGTATGATGCGCTTTTCATTGTAGTGGAAATAAAACTTAAATTCAAAAGGAAGCGGGGAGCTGAGCAGCGTAATGATGAAAAGGAAACAAGTATTTCCATTTCTGATGCAAAAAAAGGTCACTGCCGTTTAAAGCTGCATAAAGCGCTCTGTCGGATAATGAACTAATGCTGGTCTCAATCTTCACATGATTCAGAGTGCGTATGAATACAGAACAAAGATCCAGATAAAAGGTAGTCAAACTGAAGTTTATCCAAGAACATTAAAGGGAATTGTCTAAAAGGAGTGGCTTTAGTGAAACTGTAATAACTTTGCTTCGGTGAAAAAGGAAATGGTTATTTACAGGTGTCTGAATGGAGGCGGCATCCTTAACAGGGAGGATTGTCTGGAGTTACCCAGTCGTATATTCCATGAAGAGGGGAATGAAACTAACCCTTATTTGGGTATGGGGATGTGAAGTCCATTTTTTTCCAAAAAAAATACCTTCCCCAAGGTAATAAGTGGCAGGGTCAGTACTTTAAAGTCTCTCTCTGTTTGTTCAACATCACTGGTGTCTCTCTTTCATAGAGAAAACTATTGGCTTTCTGGTAGAAAGAAAGGACAGAATAATATTTCTCTGCCAGTGTACGCTGCACGTCATTTGAATGAAATACATCAATGCAAAAGCAACAATTTCAGCCAAGAATTGTTTGTGCATTACTGTCTTTAAAAAATTAAATCAAGTTACTGGCAGTTAGACTAATGTTAATAGGAGAAGTTGCCTGTATCAGTAAAATAACTCTTTCTGGTTATATTCCTATTACAGGCTTAAGGTTTTTAGAGCAGGCTTTAAAGTTCATGTCTGTCTCTTCCTTATGCTTTGTCTGCTCATAATCTACTTGTTCAGCTGGGATCTGGGATTTCCTCAAATGTGCTGGACAAATCCGTAGATGGAGTAGTACAAAATCCTTTCCAAATCACTTTGACACGTAAATTCAGAAATGTCTTAAACCAAAATCTGTAATCGTTATTTATGACACTGCATCACAGAACTGGAATGCTAGAGTACTAAACTTGGATTTGCTTTCTTACTTATCTCTTAGGACAGTTTATGTGAGTTGCTTTAAAAAGTGCTTTATATAGGTGATAGTTTCACTGATTTCAAAAGAATCAACACTAGATGTTTAACTCCTCTAGGTGCTCACTAACATCACTTTGAATACCTTTTCTTAGATCTTTGATCTTAGGCACGAATGGCCAACGTCTGATCCTTTTGGAAAAATCACAGATGATAGATGCCAAATTCCACCCCCCCTTCCCTTTGTTACCAGTGACACATTTGAGAGCGTGCAACGCTGTTGAGAAAGATCTTTTAGTTTGCTTAGGTACCAGCAAGTTGAAGAAAGGCTTTCCAAGACCTCTGAAGGTCTGTTAGCATTGTCTAATTTTAACTAGTGAGAGCTTTGTCTCTTAGCTGTTTCATGACCTAAAACGCATCTTGAGGTCAGAAATCTAATCTGAAAAATTACATTAATTCAATTTAATCCAAACAATCCTTTTTAGTTCCCTTAGACTGGGCTACTTAGAATAGTATAGCATTAAAAAAAAATCTAGAGCATTACTTCCCTTAAAATCCTGATATAAAGGGATCATTCCTCCATCCATTATGTCTAAGAAACAACCGTTTCATGAGTAGTTGGCTGGTGGACATCTTTTATAGTTTATTATTCCTATGCTGTTTGTTACATTTTTCCATTACCGTTCAATTAAAATGAATTCTTTGGAGTTTGCTTCATTTTGGTGTCATTCTGGAGTGAGTTTTTTTCTCTTCCCCCATCTGAGAAAACATCTTTGGTAGTTACGTGTGAATTACCCACCTGCAGATGATCATTGCTCCGATTGGGAAGCTCATTAGTCGTGATCAATTCTGCTCCTACAGTATTGCTGCAGGAATACTGTGTACTCGCAGTGATTGCCTGGGTCCCTTTGAACTGCATTCTTGACCACTAGGCCTGCCAGATACTTCCTCCAGCTAAAGAGCATTTCCTGGCCACATTTTTTTGAAGTTCCTAGATGTATGATTGCCTATTGTCTAAGGCTTTCACAGATGGCTTAATCTATTCCAATCACATAAATTGTGCAGCAGAAATTACGGAGTCTTATCAGAGCAGATTTTTCCCTTTTATTTTTATCTTTGTGACCTAAATTGGGATTTGAACTTTGATCCCCAGAGTTGAAAGTTCAGCGTGTCGACTCTTCCGTGCCACATAGCATCTTCTGAGTTTACAGTGAAACGCACAGGTTGCGCGGTCAGCGCTTTTAACCATCTGCCAGATACGGATGATGACCCCTTTGCACTTTAAAAGGTGACATGTAGTTAACTTGTTTGTCACTTCATAATTAGAGTTTCAGGGGCTGAATTTTTGCAAAAGCAGAGATTTAGTCTGTGCCTTACAAATAATGAATGTGGCACATTCCCTGTATCTCTCTTTTTTGCCATAGAAGAAAACGTGTATATTTTGACAAGGCACAAATAAAATTAGCTTTAGTTCAGATGAATATGCAGTTAGACTCAATTTCAGATTTTTGCCATGCAGTGTTAAAGATGGATTAATTTTCCTTCTATATATAAGTGTATTTCAGGGTCCTCTGTGTAAGTGACAGTTCATAAAAACTACCAGTTAGTTTTTACCCCTTTTCTTCTCTTTCTGCCTTAGCAATTTCTCCATTCCTCATGGTGCTGTGTTCACACGTTGGCCACTTACTGTCCACAGTCTACTTCAGCTTCCGCAGAGAAAGCTGTCAAGAGCCATGTTCTGGTTAGCCTTGGGAGGAGTCGATGCCTCCCGCGATCACAAATCTACCTGCTTTGTGTTTGGGCCTTAAAATCATTCTACGATGCGTTTGTGTGCTTTTAGCTATGCCAGAGTTTCGTTGTGAACTAACCTTTCGTTCTTTCTTGTGCAGAATGATGTAAGGATAAAGTTTGAACATAACGGGGAGAGACGGTAAGTCTGCCTTCGCTATTTTGATTCTTTGCTTAGTAGAATAATTCAGTCATTAGTAATTTAGGTTAAATGTTTTGTTGGCTTGATTTTTTTTTCCTTGTTCCTGAATGAAAAACACACAGTAGAGGCAACAGCAAGCAGGTCATAAGCAACTTAGTTATTTTTAAAAATCAGTGTGTCATATAACACTTTCCTTTGATTTGTTTTTGTAGTATCTATTCACAAGTGAATTGCAGTAGTATTATAAAAACCGTCCAGCCTGAAATAAATTCAGCCTGATAGGCTTATTTCAGATGTGTTCCTCATTTGTTTCATTTTAGCCAAAAACAAATGAAGCTGATCAAATTAGTGTCATTCTTTTCTAGTTTCTCACTTCCTGATGATCTGTCACTATCGGTGTCCTGCTGTGCCTGGGCAGCAGATACAGCAAGGGAAGATTCTTTTCATTGGTCTAAAAGTTTCCTTGTTATTTCCTCTGATACTTAGTTTTTAGGCACTTTCGTTTACAAAACCTAGAATTAACTCAATTAGCATTTTTGGTGTTTGCAGTATGGTTTCCAATGGGTGAAATTACCTGGATATTTCAAAGTAGGTCTCAAAATGCCCCTTGCCTGCCATCTAATTGAGAGGAACTCTTGATACTCTTGAGAGCAGCTCTGTGGAAAGGGACCTGGGAGTCCTGGTGGCCAACAGGATGCCCATGAGCCAACAATGTGCCCTGGTGGCCAAGAAGGCCAATGGCATCCTGGGGGGCATCAAGCAGAGCGTGGCCAGCAGGTGGAGGGGGGTGATCCTCCCCCTCTGCTCTGCCCTGGGGAGGCCACATCTGGAGCGCTGTGTCCAGTTCGGGGCTCCCCGGGTCAAGAAGGACAGGGAACTGCAGGAAAGGGTCCAGCAAAGGGCTACGGAGATGCTGAGGGGAGTGGAGCATCTCTCTGCTGAGGAAAGGCTGAGGGACGTGGGGCTGTTCAGTCTGGAGAAGAGAAGACTGAGGGGGATCTCCTCAACGCTTCTCAATCCCCAAAGGGAGGGTGCCGGGGGGATGGGAACAGTCTGTGTCCAGTGGTGCCCCGTGACAGGAGAAGAGGGAACGGGCACAAAGGTGACCATGGGCAGTTCCATCTGAAGCTGAGGAGGGCCTTCTCTGCTGTGAGGGCGGCAGAGCAGTGGCACAGGCTGCCCAGAGAGGTGGGGGAGTCTCCCCCTCTGGAGCCATCCCAAACCCGCCTGGACGCCGTCCTGTGCCACTGCTGGAGGTGCCCCTGCTCTGGCGGGGGGTGGGATGGGGGAGCTCCAGAGGGCCCTTCCAGCCCCCACCAGTCTGGGATGCTGTGATTCTGTTAATGGCTGTTTGGTGGCTGTGTGAAGGTCCAGAAAGGCTTCAAATTTGTTTGCAGCCTCTTTGTGGCTGCCCTTGAGCTCTCACTGAGGAGGGGGAAAAGGGATCTTGACGCAGGCTTCAGTTTCCCTTTTCTGAAGAAATTAATTGGATTGTAAGAATGAATTTGTATGCTGCTCTTCACAGACATCCTATGGGAATCCGTTGGTTTCTCCCATCCCAGAGAGTACTTTCAACATGAAGTAATTCACGGTTTCATGATAAAATGCAAATTTAATGTTGATAGTTCAACAGTGCAAGTCGTATGCAGTGATCCTAACAGCCTGTTACTAGCAAAGGTTACTGCTTGAGCTGCCTAGGCTCCTCCTCAGTATCCTCCTTTCTCAAATTAAGGGATTTTTGTTAAAACAGAAAAGCAGAGGCGTTCTTTGTTGATAACGCAAACGGTGGAGGGTAATTTGTAAAACCTTCCTCAAAAACTGACCTGTTCAATTCACCAAAGTACTACGTGGTGAATTCTGTCACTAAAAAAAACCTGAATTTTGGGCCTTGAGGAGAAAATGTAAAAGTAATCATAGCTGGGATCTACTGCCACCTTTGTCAGCCAGATCTTCTCAGCACTCTACTGTGTCACAGCCATTGTGCGCACTACAACAGAGCCACTGTGTGACAAGTCACAATTTTTTGTGATACCATGTTAGGACAAGGTAACTCGGAAGCAAAATCTTGTCATCACAGTCCTGTCATCTCGCGTGTCTTCTGCCCGAGGGCATTTAAGATGGCACAGAGCTCAGGGGAGAAGAAAGGTGTGGTTTTTTCTGCAGTAACATTAAAATGAAAAGGTTGATTGTGTGTTAGTCTAATTATGCAGTTACGCTCGCCTGAATTCCCCATTCCCAAAGTGGTATGCAGTTACAGACAGCAAGCTTGCACCGAGAATGTAAGTGTGTGTGCTTGGTTTCAGAGGAGCTGCCAGATCTAACCACAAATATTTAAGGTGGTCAGGCAGGAATGGGCTCCTTAAACCCTGCAGTCCATGATTTTGTGTTAGAAGAGTGCACAGAGTTTTTAAACTAATAGAATTTGTGGCACCTGAGAACAGCTCTGCTTTTTCATGCATTGAGTGTAGAATGGAAGCCTTTATAAGGGACTTCGGTTCAACCGAGAGCTAAATTACGTTTGTACAGTGCCAGAGTACTATAATTTCATGGATGGGTTTCTTAGTAATATGTAGAAAATGTTATTGTGGGCTGCTTTTTAACAAGGACAATTATTTCTAAATAGCTGAATGTTGTAGGTCTGGTAGCAAGATGAACCCTTCCTGGGAAGGGGTGAAGAAAGCCAACTAACACTAGAGCTATTTAAAACAAAAGCTGCATATCGTGAAAGGATACTGAGTGCTGGCAAAGCAGGCTGGATGGACGTTTTGGAAACTAAGCCTTCTATGAAAAGCACGGGTTCAGCCGGAACACAGGAACTCCTGGGAGCTTCCCCAGAGGTGATTCGGGGTTTCAGTGAGCTCAGAGAGTTGTCCTAGTGAGGGAGATAGGTCTTGAGTTTCTGTGGTCCATTCAGGTCTTCCTATTTCTGCCTGATGGCAAAATTGTGAAGGGGTGCTAATAATCAAGTTTTTTTGTGGCAGTATTTCAGCTACGCCAAAGCAGAGTTGTTCCAAGCGGCTCCCCGAGTGGTCTCATAGCTTGCAGAAGGCTGGTGGCTGTCAGCTGTGTCCCAGAGCTGTGTGTTTGACTTGCCGGTAGTGGGGATGCAGTGTGGTCTCGTGGCCCATGGAAGCAGATGGCAAGAAGTCTGGTTGTAGGAGCCCGAAGGCAGAACAACCAACCATCTGGGCCCTGTGCAGTGGAGAGATAAAAAGTGGGTTTCTGAGCAGTAGACGTCCTTGGTTTGCTGGAATAGTGGGTTGTAAACTATAGTTCACACTTGAATCCTCCAGTTCTTGACCCAGGATATTTTACTCGCTGGTTCTTCTGCAGAGGATGAAAATCTTTCTTTTCCACAGCTGTTGAGGTAGCGACTTTCTGAGTACTTGGCAACTTCCTGCAGAAGAACATTCCAGCAAAATAAACAGTTTTAGATGCTTTGCTGCAACCTCATCTTATTACTTTGCCTAAAGCATTAGAGTTTCTATTCCAAGGTAGGCAAAACAGTAACAAAAACCCGACGAAGAAAAGTATACTGTCATTTTTTGAAAAGCATGCACGTGCCACAGGATTCTGCAGGGTTCCCCTAGGACGGCTGCGCCTGTTGCTGTTTTGGATTTCTTGAGGCCGTTTATGTACGTGAGTCTAAAACTCTCTGCCATTCAGCTGGCAAGGAAATGGCTGAGTGCTGGAACTGGGGGGTTAGTGTGTCACAAGCTCTGGGCTCAGGGAAAGTCGTCAGAATAATTGCCATCCGTGCATATTTTGGGTGTCAGTCAGTCGGTGAAGGCGCCCAGAGATGCGTTACATATGAAGAAGACAGGTGAGGGAGGAAGCATGAGGGTATGATACTGCTCTGCCTTACATGAATATTCTGTCTTAGATATCTATCTTATATGAATATTCTGAATTATTGCAAGTGCCACTGCTATTACAGCTGAAGCAGTATTTAAGTTTTGATCTATTATGCCTCCGTAACTAAGAAAAAAAGCATTTTTTTAAAATAAAGTGAGCTGTGTGTGACAAACGGTTGCACAGAGTTAGATTTACCTTCAGCTCTTGAGAGAAAACCCCTGCTGTGTCGCACAGGGTTTGAAGGATAACTGCAGAGACAGTGCAGTGAGTCTGGGATTCAGATGTTGGAGTCGAGCAGGCAGAGGGCTAACGTGGAGCTAACGTCACAGACCACCTTTGGGAAAGGCTTTTCAGATTCCTTTGTGTCCTCCTGCTGATGCTTTCCTGCCGGAGTTCAGGACTAACTTTGCTGTGGGAATGTTTGTTGAAACCTTTCAACTGGAACGCCTTTTGGAAATTTTTAGGGAGTGTGTTGGGATACTGGAGTACTTAAACCAAATACTTTTTTGTTCTTCGGGCCTTCTGCAGCTTTTAATCCAGCTCTCACTGAATGTATTTGTGTGTGTTTTGTGCCTGAGGCAGTATTCTTTAAGCCAGAGTGCATAGGAGATTTGCATCCTGCTATGTGAAAGAAATTTATTCAGTAAAGGATACTTTTCTATCCAGGGAGAAATGCATTTTATTTTAAGTCTTCAGTTGAACATTGCATTTTGGCAAACCATTTGGAAATGGACCAGAGATCAAGAATGCCTTGCTAAAATAATTAATATCAATTCAAATTAGAAAGGTTCACTACCTACTTGAGGATGAACGGAGAACATTCAAATGTGTTTTTCATGGTTCAGCCATCTAATTTGATTGCATTGTCAAGCATAGCTCTGAATTCAATCAGTGATTCTCTTTCCTTCCAGAATTATCCCATTTGTCCGTCCCGTGCGCTATGAAGATGTGCAACAGAAAGTGAAAACAGCCTTTGGCCAGCCGCTGGACCTCCACTACATGAACAATGAGGTACAGAGCGTTGTTACCGGTGCTCAAAACATGGAACACTCTCTCTGGATGACATCTCCTTTTACCATCCCAAATTCTGTACCCTTACATTTAATTGTCAGTTCTTCCCTCTAATATGAACCACAGCTGACCCGCTCTGCCCCAGAAGAAGACATGCCGATGCTGACAAAACAGCACAGTGTGTACTGTACGAACATCAGCATCTTGCTTCCTTGTACTGGTATTGTTTGGTAGACTCTCTTGTGGAAGCAAAAAAAAGGTATTTGAACTATTTTGACTGTTGAATGCAACTATTGCAGGCCAATATTACACAGTCTGGGGACTGCAGGCAGTCCCAGAGTTATTTCTTCAGCTGCCCGATAGCAGAGTCGGTGTTTTGTGGTGTTTGCTGACCAGCAGCAGCCGTCCAGCCGTTTGCAGCACGTTTACCTCCTGCCGGCTGCAACACTGCTCATCGCCCGGCTGTTGGGCGAGAACAGGGGATGCTCTCTGGTATGCGATGCTGAAGGGGGGCTGGGAGCACTGGCATTGGCAAAAGACAGCGACGCGGGGAATGGCATTGGTCTCTGAGGAACTGGGTAGTCCGGGTTAATAATCTGAAGCATTTTGTTGGCTTTCTCACTCTGGACATCGTGGCTTTTCCTTGGGTTTTTTGTTGTGGTGTTGCCCTCCCACCATTTGGGACTGCATCCCTACTGAGAGAGATGCAAAACCCCGTTCACAAGCAGGAGTCGGACAAAAATGAAAGGGGCTCCTCAGCGTTAATAACACGGGCATTTCAAGATGTGAGTGGGCTGTAGAACAGAGTGTCTATGCATAATTTCGCGGGGTCTTACTAGCAAGTTTTAAATTCATCGATTCCCTCTTTCAAAGTCTTAATCTTCTTCGTACTCGTCTCTATCTGAAAGCCAATTTTGCCTTGCTCGTTAGGCCTGGATTCATAAGTATTCTGAGACGGTGTTCTCATCAGGGAGTCGGGGGCCTGTGTCTGACTTGTTCTTTGCAAACAGCAAATTCAGGTAGCAATTAATATTTTTGTGGATGGTGCCTCAGAGAAATTTACATAGGGTCAGCCATTTCTCTGATGGCGTGGGAGGAAAACCTTGTTAAAAAGGACAGTAATACAGTGTTGTAATGAAAATTTGTGGAATAATTGAGCAATCAGAATCCTATCTTCTATTCTGGTAACTTTTTTTGCTTTTTCTAATGTTTGTTTAAATACCTGTTGTGGAAGCAGACTTATTTCTTCTGTCTTTTCTAATGATTTTTTTTTTCCTTTTTTTTTTTCTTTTATTTTGCAGCTATCTATTCCTTTGAAAAATCAAGATGACCTGGATAAAGCAGTAGATCTCTTGGACCGAAGCTCTAATGTGAAAAGCCTTAGAATATTATTGCTGTCTCAGGACAGAAACCATGTAGGTAACAACTTCTGTGACTACAGCAAAATGAAGTTTTTTACCCTTAAGTCTCTGAAACACGATGGTAGCCTTGTCTGAGAGTAACGGGGATTAGTAAAATCACTCTTCACAGACACGAATGCATATGTTTATCCTCTTTGCTTTGGCTTAGTTATAGGTGTCTCTTTTTTTTTTTTTTTTTCTTTTTCTTTTTTTCCTGGCTTCA